TGCGAGCTCCCATACGGCTTGGAAGACAAATGATTTTTTGAAGCAGGAAATCATTTAGCTGATGAGCCATTCTCCGTACAGCCCTTACTTGAGCCCAAACGATTTCTTTACATTCCCTAGAATGAAATATTTATAACGCGGTCAACGGTTTGAAGACCCCGAAGCAGCTGTGGAAGCGTACAAATCAGCCATTTTGTCAACATCAAATTCAGACTGGAATTACTGTTTTAATGATTGGTTTGCACAAATGGAAAAGTACATTAAGTTGAACGGAGAATACTTCGAAAAACAATAAAATACAATTTAGCTATATCACGCAGGTGGTTTTTATTATTCCCGATCATTTCAGCCCCTGTGCCCCTCATAATAGTGATAGTCATATATTAAAAAGTATGGAAGCTGAGATATATGAGATATGCCATGTGAGTGCTTTCCGTTAGACTATTTAAGTAAGGAACTGTATATTACATTTAAAGCTAATCATTCAACTTAAAGGCACAACAAATTATTCATAAAGAAAACAGTTTGTAAAAAATTATTTTATCATGGGTACATAGTAAAAAGCTGATAAACATTATGTTTCTTTAATATTATCCTTCTGTGTCAACCATACAAAAAATTGTACTATTATGACCATTAGAAGCTTTCCCTCGGGTCGGTTTTTATACTCATGTGCCGTGGGTGTCATAAGAGGCGACAGAGGGAATCAAATCAGGAGATGGACAGCATTGTTATCTTAATAAAAACTAAAAATAAAAAACTGCAGTTGCCGATCTGCTGCCAAGCGTGGCAACTATGGCAAATATCCCTAATATTATGAGGCAATCTATGGGGGATGTCTATGTTCAGCAGTGAACTTTAATAGGTTGTCACAGTAATGGTAAAATGTCTCTTTGTAATGTTGCAATGAACTATTTACCCACCTGGCATTAGTTGCACATTACGGAAAACCACTTCATACTCTTTTCTACATTCGTCCATGAATTTCTCTACACTAGTAGGAATATTTAGAGCTTTAATAATCTTTTCTGCACATTCATGTCCTTGAAATCCAAGGATATTTTTTTTTAGTTCCCAAGTAAATTCTTTGCCATACATAGCACATACATTGGTGAATGCCTCTGTGTATAACTTTTCAGAATCTGGAATATAATCAAAATAGGAAATCAAAATAAATACTGGGCTATTTTATTTATGTAAATTCTGCATTGTGCAGTGTAAACAGGAAAATGTCAACTATTGCAGTATAAATGCTAATCTCACCCACATATAATACACTGTTTTATTCTGCACAATATATATGGTAGGTATATTATACATATATTATACATCTATCGGTATGCATGTATTAACAGAGGTGTTGTCTACTTGCTGGTTATAATTAGGGATGGGCCGAACATGGATTTCACCGAATACGATTACTCGGCCGAAAGTACAGTAATTCTTTTACCGAACCGAATATTCGGCCGAACATTATTCGGCAAGATCACCGCGGTACCTAACCAATTTCTGTCGAAATTTGTTACCGTAAAGCGCGCGGGATTAGCGTCGAACCCTGCTACTCATTACCCTGCCACACCTGATATGCCTTTGTAGCATCATCTTGTACTGAGCAAATTGCCACGGCACATACTTATGCTTTGACTAGTTTTGTGCAAAAAAATTCATAGTGTTATTCTTAGTAAAAGTTGATAATTATATGATAAAAATGAGTGGCAGGAGATCTAGGATTTGGACTTATTTTAGAGAAACTGACGACCAAAGTAAAGTGAAATTTACTAATGTAATGTAATGTTTCTTTGTTTGATTCCAAAAAAATTTATCAAGCTTTCTATTTGCTATAATGGGAAATAAATCTAAATATATAATATATCTAAAAATAATACAAGTAGATTTAACCTATAAATAAAATATACTTTCAACAGTAAAATTATGAAAGACATGGCATTACTCAATTCATACATTTCAATACAGTGGACACTGAGTATACTACTTTACTGAATATTCGGTGATTTAGCTGAATATTCGGCCGAATACAAATATTTGGTAAAGCTGCCGAATACGCTGAATACCGAATATAATATTCAGCCCATCTCTAGTTATAATTCAAATGCTCAATGTTCACAAAGTAGTCTGTATTTATACATTTGTAGTAATGACTCATTAGACATTTGTCAATACACTACAGGTCCTAAGACATCCATCAAAAATGTTAAACTCATATTGTACAGACTGGCAATGATAAGCAGCATTAAGAATGTGAAGATCCTTCCTTAAAAATTCATAATACATACTTAATTCAATAAAGCTATATACTGATATAAAATCTTGTTAAGTAGCCCATTTTAGACATTTAGAGAAAGGAATCTGTTCAGCCCTAGACTTCTGTTGTGACCTGAACTGGTTCTAAAGTTGAATCAAGTCCTGTAAGGAGCACTTAAATTTTCTGGTATATTATTAGTCTGTTAGTTTATACTAGCAGCGGCAATGTCTGATGTCAAAGGCATTTCACATTAGCTCTTTAAATTGTGTTAACTACTTGACATGTTCGTAAATTAAATGTTATCAATTAAAATAGTTTAATAACTTGCTAGAACATAGTTTTTTTAGTAGCAGCTAGAGTGCAGACTGAACTGACAGAAGTTTGATTGAAATCAAAAAATAATACTGATTATAACAGTCATGTACAAATAAAGACTTTTTATATTGAAAATGATTAAATGTTTAAGAATTAATTATATAATAACCATTACAATACCTATTTTACATACAAACTAATGTGTGCCGAAATTACCACAGTTAAATTGTTAAGTTTAATTTCTATTTTTAATCAGTGTTATGTAATGATTCTTTATAAAGTTGAAGGTTAGCTTAAAATTATTTAATTATTAAATATTATAGAATCATGAGTTTCTATATGCAAAATAGAATTAATACTAGGGCCAGTGTCAATTTTCAGATAAAAGTTATCCTAACTGTTATATAAAAATGAAACAATTAAATTCTTTTATTCATTTAAATGTTATGTTTTATTTTATTTTATAAACAATTTTTATCCGATGAATATAATTTTGAAAGTATAGTAACTTTACCTATTAATAATCCATCCAAATCAAATATCACATGTGTTACTTTTTTGTACATCATCTTGAATACACCATAGATAAATAAATATGTAGCAAGCTAGAATACACTATTCAGTTTATAGATCTCTAAATACTAGTCTAACACTATTGTAGATATAGAAGAAAATTACATACATATTGTATTTCAATAATTTATATTAATTTGCAATAATACCTTCACATCCAAAACATTTTTTTATTAACCGGCTTAATGGCTCTGGGTTCTAGCCCTTCTGAGCCTAACATCCAAAACCATGGAGGTTAAAGAGAAGGAGAACGATCGCTGTAGAAAATAGTGTCCCAGAAATATGGACAAAATAAGAGAGGCGCTGCGATCGCTAAGTTCGGTCAATAAAAGTCATTTTCACTCTATTTTTCCGATCAGTGGCTAAACCACTTACATATCCATGCACAAAAAATATTTCTCCATTTTATAATGTTTCTTTTTGTCAAAAATTAAAAAATTACGAAGCACGATTATTTTCGCACCAACGCAGCGAAGAAAATTTGTACATTATTCAACTTTATCTACTTGTACTCATAAACAGCTAACTTCGCAGCCACTACTCACCGACGATAGCGTCACTATAAATTCTACAAATTTTCAGGGACCGGCGGGCTATGCTTTAGTACTTACGTACTACTCGATCTTTCTTCTTCTCTCTAACCTCCGTGATCTAAAACAAAACTATTAAAGGCATAGATAAATAGATATGACGGCGTAGACAGAGAAACCAATAGACTAATGATAAGCGTGGCCTTGAGTGAGATAGGACGATAACGCAGTTTTAGGTTATACAATAATCTTTATCACTTTTAAACATATTTGGATAAAATTTAAACGTATATTTATATAGTTCTGTAACGAAATTTAAAATTACAATTGAATTTTATGCGTAATACCAGATAAAATGTACTATACTTACTAGTGAAATGATATACCGATGAGTTTACGTTCACTATCACTTCTACATTCTTAGACACTACATCTAACCATTTTTAAGATTTTTAATTGTCCTAAGAACTGAACTGAACAAGATTCACCAATCTTAAGCTCACAAAATACTTTTTTCTCACTTAAACCAACTTGTAAACTCTTTAGATCTTCACGAATTGTCAAAGTTTGTTTCGCAAAGTGTAGTTTGCTAAACAGAAAAAACCGGCACGGAGAAAGGGACAAACAATCACACCACTCTGTCTCATTTCTATGCATGACGTATACATAAATCTATCTTTTTCGTGTGCGAATGCGAAAGAAGGCGTCAATTTGTCTATAGGTTTCTCTGTCTACGTATGAGGGCATGGACATGGTGTATTATCCATGGGCATGGAGGTTAGAGAAAAGGAGAAAGATCGCTACGTGCTAAAACTAGCATTCTCTTTCCACGTTAGCCCACCTGTCCCTGAAAATTTGTAGAATGTATAGCCACGCTGCCATCGGTAAGTAGTATCTGCGAAGTTAGCTGTTTATGAGTACAAGTAGATGAAGTTACTTGAATAATGTACACATTTAATCGTAAAAATATAATATTGTCTAATATAATAATGTAGTAAAAATTTAATGGAAAATATTCGTTCTCCGTAATTATTTATTTATTTATTTTAAGAAAACAAATAATAATAAATCAATAATAATTTATATCTGTAATAATTATAAAAACATAATTTATGATTTAGTGACTAATGCCCGCGAAATAATAATAATAATCAAAAAATTCCGTAGGGAAGTGACGACCCCATCGCCCGCTGACGTAACGGTTATGTGACAAAACTGCTACGTCAGCGCAGTCAGTCAGCACCTTGCCAAGAGACGTTAGTGCCGTGCCTCGGCCAAAATTGATGGTGCAAAGGATCGCTTGTGCACATGGCCTCACCATGAAAGGCGCCGGGTCTGAGCGTTTCCCGTTAAATGACACCATTAAATGGATGATGGAATTAAATAAAACGCGCAAAGGGCCGCTGCCTGGAGGTCGCCAGGGCGCTTCTGGAGCTGGCGCTAGACGCAACAGCATGCAAACCGCCAGCCGAGTACGAGGTGCTGCTCGACCACTCGGCAGGCCCTCACATCCATCATACCCACCAACTGGCTTGGTGTCGGCAGGGTCTTCGCCGGCGTAGCAATCGGCACCCGTCACTGGTAGAGTTCGTCACTTGCGTTGGACAATCGAAATGAACAGCAATGCATTGCAGGTGTATTTTAGGTCGAAGGAGTGGTATGCAAGATGATGTTGTGACCAGGATTAAAAAAGGAATGCTTCGGTGGTTCGGTCACGTAGAAAGAATGAATGAGGAAAGAGTGACAAAGCAAATTTATATGGCAGATGTGAACGGCCGAGTCGGGAAGGGACGCCCTAGAAAAAAAGTTTATCGACCAAATTGGCGATATTTTGAAAATGGGCCACGTTAGAAGTACCCTTAACCGACGAGCATGTATGCGTAGATATATGGATGTAAAGGAGGCGAAAGAGGTATGTCAGGATCGTGCCAAATGGAAGTCCGTAGTCTCTGCCTACCCCTCTGGGTGACAGGCGTGAGTGTTTATGTATGTAAGGTCGGGGGGGGAGAAATTGGGCTAGGATTCATCGACTTTTTGCTGACCTGGAGCTATCTATAACCGTCACCAAGCAAAACCTGGCAGACTGAGTTCGGTATATCTTGCGCTTATATAATGAACTCGAACGGCTACGACGTGAGGCTGTTCCCTCATCGGATGAAAATGCTACGGCTGAGGACGCGGTGCCATAACTTGTAGAGAAACCCGCCAACGTGGATGCCGCCGTGAATACCTCAGTTGTGGTTGATTCAAACTACGATGGAACAGTCGCCCAAGAACTGGAATTAGAGCAAATGTACTCCACATTGGAAGAGGCGATTGTGAAAACGTGCAGTACGCCTCTTGAAAATCAACCACCACTTCCCCGCATAGCCCTAAGCAAGCGGAATCAGGTTGTCATGAGGGCTCTGAACCCAATGCTGGTGACCTATTTCGAAGCCAGCCGGGAGCTTTGCGAGACGGACTCAATTCTTTTTGGCGCCGCACTGGCAGTCTGCCGTGTTATAGGTGCCAAACTTTCCATGACTGGACGCGCTACTGGACAAAGTAGCGCTATCCCAGCCTGGAGAATAAGAATTGAAGAACGTATCGCAAAGGCTAGGGCCCTCATCGGCAGACTGATATGCTTCAGGTCAGGCAATAACAGGCCAAGGATTGTGCACCGCAAGTACGGCGTTTGCTGTGACAAATGTTAGTTTGTCCCAGCCCGATATAATATTCGGTCTTCTGTACAATCTTCCGCAGGGTGTGTATGTGGTCTATGGTATTGAAGCTTTTTCGGAAACCAGCTTGTTCGGGAGGCTGGAAGTAGTCGAGTCTGCGTGTGAGACTCTCGAAAACAGCACGTAGACGCGGCTCAGAAGGGAAATCACCACCACCACCAACGCACAACCACAGCTTCCTTATGTCTAAATCTTGATATAATATGTGACAAACGTGTTTTTTTGGACATTTTCATAGCATCTGCTATATCTCTCACATTAATTCAGTGGTCATCTAGCACCATTTGATGAATTTTAGCGATGTTATCGTCTGTAGTTGCAGTTTTAGACGTCCCGAACGTTTATCGTTTCTCAAGCTCGGAACGCTTAAATTCAACTGCCCAAAATTTCACTGTGGTAAATGATGCTGCAGAGTCCTCATACACAGAGTCCAACTCATCTTGGATTTGCGTAGGCGTAGGCCTTTCAAAAACAAAAATTTAATGATAGCTCGATACTCAATTTTTCCATTTTTACAAAAACACTCATATCGACTCACTCAAACGACTGTCAAATAACGGCTACGGGTCCAAAATGGCTGAAATTTTGGTGCGTAATTTCCAAAAGATGCACAGCTACGTTCAATAGCTTTTATTGATGAGTGATGCCATCTTCAGGTTGAGTTCGGAAACTTTTCAGACCACCCTGGTAATTGAACAAATAAATAGTAAAAACCATCACTACGGTTACTAATCATTATTAAACATTCATATTAGTAATTAAATGAAAACCGTATTAATAATTTATATAGTATAATAATGTCACAATTTTTATTATTGTGATGACTAGCCACCTCTACTTTACTTTAGAACCATGTATCGTGTTCGCCTGCTCCGTATGTTTTTGTTTGGACGCCCGATCTCGATCCTATTACGGTGGTAATATTTCTATCTGCAATATTTATTTCTTTTTGTGACTTGCAAGGCAGCTTCGTTTAATTAAAAATACGATACAATGTAAAATACAATATAAAGTATATTACCTGTTTCTACACAATTTTCAAATTATATATATCAAACTGGATGAAATTGAAAGCGGTAGCTCTTAGTAAGTTATGAACATTGCATCAGTCTGTTATTGATAACGATGAACTTTTATCGTTATTAAAAACAATTGAAAGTAAAATAACTTGTATTTCCTATAATATTTGAAAACATTTTAAAATTACATCAGAGTACATAGATTTAAAAGTATATGCAAAGAAAAATCAAATACAATTTATTCTAGACATACCCTTAGTTATTTCCATTATTCTATTCCATGTTATTCCTATATTCCGTATTACAAAATTCATCCTCTACCTACCACTGATTCCATGAACCAAACAGCCCTTATAGTACTAAAATAACCTTATCTTATAATGAAAGGGTTAAACACGGTGTCACTTCTTTACCCATGTAAACTGATGACTCAAAACTTCGATCAACAATACCAACTAGATAACGGGTCACGTACAAAATCATAGCTAAATTCTGTCCGCGTGAATATAAACTTATACAGCTACATTTGTTTACTAAAGAAATGAGACAAAAAATTAAAATCGTTTTAAGCTCAACCTAATTACAACCATCGCATCTAGTAATAAAGTCACAAATCTTACGATCATTAGTCACAAAAAAGAACAAAGCTATCACTTGGAAATGGAAAGACATAAATTAAATAAACTTTGGTATGAAATCAACCTTAACGTGTAACAAATAAATTTCTTTTTCCCGTTATTGCCTTGCGAGCTACGTCTTTTTTTATGTTTCTGTTTTCTTCTTCGAATTTGGTCCAGGAAGTATTGATCCGCGTTGAACACTAAAATAATTTATAATATGATCATAAGTTTAATTAAAATTATATTTATGTTTTGGGCATTTATGATTGTTGGTATACATACTTTCCACACTAGTCATTAAATATACTATAGTATGTAGTATATTGATTGCATTTAATTAACTAATTCAATTTATATCTGTTTTAGTTTTTGTATGTATATATGTTCGTAGTATGTATGTATCTATGTATAGTATATATAAATATATATATATATATATATATATATATATATATATATGTTTGTGTGTGTGTGTGTGTGTGTGTGTGTGTGTGTATTCTTTTTTATCACACCAATTTGCCCTACTCCTGTCATCTTCATGTAATCCTGTCCATTTATTGGTTGTCTGGAAGAAAGTGCTGTCAGCAATAAGATCGCCCATTGCATACTTTTAAAACGTGGTAGAGCCATACTACAATTATATTAGTAGTATAGTTGTAGCACTAATGGGTCGGCTCGACCGGGGAAGAAAGCTAGGGAAGCTAAAAAAATACGTGTGGCACTCGGTGACTGCCGCGGTAAAGCTATTGCATAGCATTTTTTATCAACTTATGCAATTATAATTATTTATTTATTTTATTTATGCAGTTAAGTCTTTGATATTAAATCAAGTTACACTTTTTGAGCGTGGTGACCGATAAGAAAACAATTTTTTTTGTTAGAATTTAATATTGTTTAAAATATTTTTAATATCTTACAATACATGTAGGTTATTCAGGAATTTTTATCATTGAGTTAGCAGCTAGTGTACACGCATACGTCTAGTCGCACGCATACAAACACCGTGCCGAAGTCTGCCGAGTGCCGAAGTCTGCCGAGTGCCGAAGTCTGCCGAACTGAAACGACATTAGACGATGCACGGCTTTCAACGCCACACCTCCGTACCCGTCGGAGTGGGGAGCGTGAGGTTTTTTTCGTTACGGAATTTCTGGATTCGGTCCCCGCGCTCAAGGCCCGCGATAGAAGCTATGCAATAGCTTAAAAAAATCTAAGTATCTATTGGAATTACACAAACAAAGACAAAAGTAGCAATTACCATTATTTAAAGTTTTGGTAACGAATTATTAAAAATTATTACAATACAAATCTACTTCATGCGTCCATGTTCTGTTTCACAAATGTTTGCGCGTGTATTGACATATTGTATTTTACATTGCATCGTTATAGTCAACATTAAATAACTATAAATACAATATAATATAATTGTAATGGGTAAAAAATGTTAAACTCGCGTCAGGACACGTGACCTGATCGAAAATTCGTAAGACGAAAACTTCTTTAGCGGCGTTGTACACTTTATTTGTAATGGGTAAAAAATGTTAAACTTGCGTCAGGACACGTGACCTGATTGAAAATTCGTAAGACGGATGGAGAGTAGACAGCCGGCGTGGCGTAGGAGAGGAAGTATCCCTCTCTCTTTCTACGGCGCGGCAAAAATGTATGCCTGCGCTTGCTGTTTCGTTTAGGCGGCGCAGGGCGCTTGCGCGACCGATTGCGAGATGGCTCGACCGTATGTGTAGTGGCGACACTGCTGTGTATTCGTAAAATTCGTGTATATAAAGTGTTTAAAATATGGAAATTGTTCTGGTAATAATGATGGTGAAAAAGTCGTCGAAATTATGGATGGAAGTTGATTTTTCTGAGAGATACACTTTTTAATGTAATATAAATTGTCAGGTTTGTGTACGATAGCGCAATATATAAATATTGTATTCTACCACATAAATGATAGTACTTTCATACTGATAATTAAAGCAATTCGTGCAAAATTATTCCCTAACCATTCCAAAATATCAAAAATGCACAACATTCATATTTAAGTTTTCACTTTTGCCGGCACTCCCGGAGTGAAAACCGTCGTTTTTTTTAATAATAATATTATATGTAATTGTGATTTAGTTTGTAATAATATTATATTCCAATAAATGAATTTTATAATAATTTTATAAAGATACTGCAGATAATAGTTATAGGCACATAAACGATAAAAAGCCATTTTTGATTGGTTGGAACTATCACTTGATACATATACAGACACTAAACTTTAATCTAGCCTTAACATGGCATCTACATGTTAAGGCTAGATTAAAGTTTAGTGTCTGGGTTGCTTTTGGCAAACCATCTTCTGGTTATTATTATAATAAAATGTCTTTGGCTCGTAAGAAATTTAAATCCGAACTTAAATTCATTCAAAACCATCAAGAAAAGATAAAATTGGATATATTGGCGGGAAATAATAAATCGAAAAAATTTGGACAATTCTGGAAGAAGGTAAAGCAGCTAAATCTTAAAGCGAGTCGTCATATTATTAGTATCCAGGGTGAGGTGAATCACACTAAGATAGCCAAACTTTTATAAATAATTTTAATTGATTAACATTACTTTTACAGATTTTATCGAGTTTAAATTGAATTATTTTTGATACCCGACATTTCGGGTGCTTTCCAGCACCTATAGTCACGGGAGACTGAGATGACTGACGTCCCGATGTCATTGTTAAACCCGGAGTATATTAAGATTTTTTAGTTATTGTTTATGGTCCGATCTACGCAAAATGAACTGATTGTGTCTTGAAGTCTTGCAGTGGTATGCTTGGGTTTAGTTTTAATTTCATTGATTATAGGGTCCCAAGCAGGTGATAGTACCCAGCCTCCTACTCTATTGAAATTAGGATGTCTATCAATCCACAAAAATTCAAATAAACAAACAGAGATAGTTGCCTATGTACACAGGCTTCAAGTACTTTGGATATAGGTCTGTAGTGATTGGGTAAAATCGTATTAGAAGTTTTCGACAAGGGAATAACGTAAGCCATGGGCCACAGTGACAGGAAAACTCCGGAATCTAGGGAAAAGCTAATGATATGGAAAATAACTGGAAGAATATGATCAAGGATATAAATGATCATACAGCTGCTGATGTTATCACAGCCCACAGCGTTTGAATTAATGAAAAGGATTATCTTTTTAACTTAATCGGAAGTAACTTGAGAAAAATGGAATGGATCGATATTTAAACAAGGTGAGCTATTTAAATAGTCAACAGTATGACACTTGGTTTGGTGATCCAGAGGATTATGAGAAACAAAATTATTGTTGATATCATCCAAACCAAG